TTTTCATACGTAGGTTTATATATATATTAAAGAGATGGTGCCTCAAGCCGTGGCCGGTTGGTTGGCGGGGTTCACTGTAAGTCCTCTTAGGTCACGAGTTCGATCCCTTGGGTTCTCGAATATTTAGGCACATTGCGCGAGCTCTCATCATGGAGTCTAGCGCATATATTAAAAAGATACAAATGTTTTATTATTATTATTATTTCTCTTGTAGTATTGTAGATACCTTTTTTGGATATGAATTTGGCCAGAATTATGGTTCAACCAATTTGAACAATTAAATTCTCTACTAATAATCCTTTTTAATAGTTCCTCATAAAAGATGCATGTCGAGTATATGTTGAGATGAGGTTATAGTAAAGGGTGTGCTAAATCTAGATCAAAATATTTTACTAATATTTTTCACCTCCTAGATCTGATTCATGCGTAAGAAACGATTAGCAAGGTACCATAAGGGATTAGAATGAAATATCAATATAAATCCATTGTGAATGGGTTGGATAGTTTAATTGAAATAAGATGTTAATGGAACTTTGAAATTGATTGGCAAATGCATCCTTATTTTAATTTGATCTTCCTTCTCTTATACGAAATTTTCCTCCTATTGTTTGTGTTTTGGAGATTATATCTCTAATTTATATCCTAAATAATATTGTATCATTTTTTCTTTTATAAGTGGTGTTTGTAGTGAACTGTTCGGTGGTGAACCTCGACATCAATATCAGGTCGTTTCATGCTTTATATGTTGTTTTTGGCCAGGACAGCCGTTCTCGATTCAGTCAAACTCGTGTATTGTCGTTCCCTTGCCATTCCACAACCACTTCTCCGTTAAATTTCATTCGTGAGCACCATCCCAGAGTCCTAGAAGTGTGAGCTTAATAACAATTTTTTACCTGCCTTTTATAGTTTTGTTGTACTAGACTTCAGTAAATAACAATCTGATCTTTACAACCAAATGTTTTTTATTTTATTTTTTTAGAGGTTTTTCTCAATAAAATGGAAAATATATCGCTGTGCCTTCCATAGGCTGAATGAAAAATTCAAACTATTTCCCAATTGCCCACGTACAATTATGCTGCAGGGAACTCTTTCTGAAGAGAGCACAATCTAACCATTTAATAATATACTCAATTTTTTTAATTATAAAAATAAGTAGAATGTTGTGTTTTTTTTATTAATGATATTATTTATTATATAAATAAATTAATTAACATTTTATTCTAATTAAAAAAATGCCTAATTATAATTATAACAAAATAAACTTATTTAGATATATATATTGTTGTCAATGTAGAATAATGCAGATCTTAATCGATTTAAATATACATTTTCACAAGATTTTAAAGAAATCAATTTCAAAGTCTAAAAATTTAGTTTATGTTTCATTTTAATTTAATCTATAATATTATGATAAAACATTTCATTAAAATACTCTTCATACAATTAGGATTCAAATTTTAATATATAAAAATTTTAATGAGACATCAATCATTGAAATCTAACATAATATTAAATAAATAACTAAAGATTTTAATAAAATCTTATTTAAAATTTATAAATTTAAATTAAATTGATTTTTTTAACTTAAAATCATTTAAAGTTTTATATTATAATAGCTCGTGTATTCATGGATCAGACTAAGGGTCTGTTTGGGAGAATAATCTACTGATAATTTGATTTTGTTGATAAGCTGTGTTGTAGCTATTATAAATTTTTATTTTCTTGAAAAAGCCAGATTGTAGCCAGAAAGCTCTCACTTAGATAGATAAGGCAAGAAAACGTTGTTGTCAGCTTTTAAAAACTTATAAGCTATCAAACGCAGTTTATCCAAACATGTCATGCATTTTCAAATAGCCACCACACTAAATAAGTTGCCCCAAACGGACCCTAAGTCATAACCCCGAAAATACAAAGGTTGTAAGATCAGGTTTCAAAAAACTAGAAAACACAGCAGCACGAAGAATGATATTAGAATGATTCATAGGGGTTCCCTCCGCAAAACTGCAATAACATATCCGAAGATCTACTTTCAATTCTCTCCTATGCATGAAAATCTGTGGTGTTTTTATGTGATTAGATGTAAAAATTAAAATTTAAGTGTTAAAAATGTAACTTCCCTTAATACATATTTTCCAACTTATGTATTGTTCCAGATAATAAAAGGAACTGAATTTATCCGGTTGTATTATTCCAGTCGGAACAATGCCCCAATTTCAATCCAAACTTCGTAATTTGTGAAGGCCTGAGTCAATTCACAGTTCCAAACCACGAATTTACATAGCACACAATTTATATCCCACACCTAAACCTTTATATTTACACAGCACTCAAGTATTTAATAGTACATAAATTTTAAAAAGTCAAATACAACTTTTCATACATAGGTTTATATACATAAATATGAAAGTTCATGTGTGAGAGATGTAATAAGATAAGCGGGCTATGTATGTAAATTTCCCAAAAATCAAACCCTAATTACCTTAATCCATTTATTAGAAACAAAGCTAGACCATTTTGGGAAAGAAAACATTAATTTACAGAGAATGGCATCAAATTAGGACAACTATAACAGTAATTCCAAAGATAGAATGAAAGAAGAAAAAAAGTTTCCATCTCCTTCAGCCTTCTCTTAACTGCAATGCTTGTTAAATTTTCCTAATCTAATAAATACAGATAAAATCAAGACTTAGTTGGGGTTGAAATAAAGCGGAAAAATGAATATAAACATGCAATCAATGATATAAACTTCAAAATTTATTTGTTGCACTCAAATTCAAGCATATAAATACAGCCAAAAGAGTACAGTTTATGAATTCCGAAGCCAATTCTGAGATTCGCTTCATCATAAAGCTGCTTACATACCTTGTCTGCAATTTTCTTAGCTAAGTCGGAAAACAAAGCATAATATGATCTCCCAGCCGTTCCAACTTCTTAATTTTGAATCCTCAGCATAAGGTCATCTTTCTTCCGATATGACTCCTAAAATCCCATCACAGATGATTCTGTTCATCAGATGATATTCATGATAACTATATATATAAGAATGATTTTTTCACATATGAATTCTATTTTTGCATTTGTACTTCTATATAACTTTCAAATGCAAAATCACACAATAGAGATCTGTGAAGGTGACAATTAAAAGTGGTTCAAGCTTCATCAAATTTTATAAGGATTTAATCATTCAACAACAATGTGAAAAATACAATTTAGATAGCATATAAAATATCATTTGTAAGAGTAGTTCTATTCGTGCATTTCACGCCAAAAAAGAAATCAATATACACAAAATATAATCACCAACCTATGTATTTGATTTCATGCAATTTGAAAGCGTCTGCATTTTGAAATTGCATTTATTTTATCATGCAAATGGATCTGCGGGCTCTCAGCAACAACTCACTACACAAGATTCAGCTAACCAGAAGATATACATGAATCCAAGAAAATTCTTATATTTTATATTATACACACACATACACACTAGCTCTCAGCAACAACAAAAAACCTTGCGGGGTGCATTTACATACACACCACACATAAAAATTCATATTTACATGCATACCAATCAAAACATTAACATCACATTAAAAATCCTATCACCAGCTTTCTAAAAGTGAAAAAACATTATCATGCATAGGTTTATGACACCAATGAATTATAAATGTAAATAATCAAACTTTAGGTGTTAGATATGAAAAATATAAGAATTGTATGGTATGATGTAAATTTCCCTTTTGTCAACTGAACTAGTTGATGCACACAAGCGCACTCAGCCATTTATCCTCACACATCTTTCACAATCCATAATAAATATTAGATGTCCAGAATTAAAAGTAGATAACAGATAGATATAAGAGGATAATGGCTCAATTCCTAAAGCTCTCAATTGTGAGGAGAAAGGAGATTTAAATATATTAAAGAATAAGAAATTTCCTCGATGAGAACTACATATCAATTAAAGGAGTCTAAGTTTAGTTATAAGATTAATTAAGGGCGAGTAACTTGGGGGATATGATGTCAGGTTAAAATGTAATATTTTTCATTATTAATTCCAAGTTCTATTTAATGATTATGGTGATATTATTATTGTAGAAGATATACTTTTTTGTGTAGTGCAGGTAATAGGTGATTAGGCAACTAGGAAGCTAAGGAGATGAAATAAACTCTAAAATGCGAATGACACTGTATGCAATCTTATAGCAGCAAGGGGGTGCCAGTTAACAGCAAAGTGGTGCCAGGCACCAGCACTCGTGCACCTGTCTGTAGCACCCTTGTGTCACAGACCAGAAAGGGTGGAACCCCCTTGCCAGTCTATGGCATCCCTGCACCTCGACATGCAAGATAAAAAAATTGGAAGGTTTGGATGTGAATTGTGGAGCCCTAACCATGTAAAAACATGTAGTAAAGTATAGGAATCAATTTTTGGCTTGTGGAGGCTGATACGAGGAAAATTTACATGATATTTATAGTTTTAAATACCATATTTCTTCCTTAGTTTTCATGTTATGATGCTTATGGAAGGTTCTTGATGAGATTTTGTAGGTTACAGGTGACTTGTGCACGTAATGGAGTCAAAACAGTTAAAGTGGGTGGATCGGTGTAACCACGCCCAATCTGAGCATGGCTATGTCGAGTCTGGCATAACAATGTCTGATCCAGGTGTGGCCAAGTTGGGTCTGGCATAAAAACACCGACCACGGGTGCAGTCACTCCACCGTAGGGCGACCAGTTTCATTTTGACAAGTAATTTCATGCTGATTTTGGATGGAGGGCACAACTTGGGGCATCTTTAATAGACTTTGGAGGCTCTCCACAATAGAAATTAGGATTTGGAGTGCACCCTTAAGATTTTCTTCTTCTTCCTTTAAGAAGAGAAATTTCTAGGGGTGGTTTCCTTCAAGTATTTCAGAGGTTTCGTATGGGAGGGAGAGTTTGAGGGTTGGGCATGTGAGTGATTGTAGAGAGATTTCATTGGAATGGAGAGGATTCGGTGGATTACTAAAGAACACTTGGAATCTTTGTAAGTTTGTATAATTTCTTTCATTTGAATCTTCAATGTGGTTGGTAAAACTTTTTGTGCTTCTCTATCGCATGTTTCTTGCCAAAACTTTCTCTCATGCTCCTGTGATGTAAGGATAGTGTTATCTTCTTGTATTTTGCCTTGATTTGTAGATTTTTTTTTTTTGTATTTGTTTGATATGCTTTGAATGATGAATGTTAATGTGTTAATCTCATGATTGTCGTTTACTCCAAACTTAATCAATTAGGGCATTAAAACTTCTTGTGATCAAGGACTTCGACAGCCGCCTAGAGGAACAACTACAAAAATCTAGTGATATAGGCATAGTTTCATGAGGGTTTTTGTAACTAGATAGCTGATCTGAGAAATCTCGAGAAATTGTATTGTTACGGGTACATAACAATAGGACGATTTCTATTCTTCTTATGACCTAGGCATATGCTAAGAAGTAACTTTCATCTCTAGTTGTCAACCATTACATAGGAGAACTTATAGCAAAACATAGAAAAACCACTACATCGGTTTCATAGGAGCACGAGCCTCATCACCTCTGAAAATTTTAAGGTGCTTACCAACTATTTATGTCCAACTGTCATTTCTATCACTTGCCACTTTTACCTACTTGCCATTGATGATATTTTGAGAGAGGAGTGAGTCAAAGACTCCATTGCTTCTAAATGATTTCTTAATGCCCTCATCATCCAAAGAGGAAGGGTATTTACAAACTCCTGGACCCATTAAAACACATAATAAGAACCCGAACTCTAACTACCAAATAAACAATAAATACCCAACAACAACATGCCTTTATCCCACTAAGTGTGGTCGGCAACATGAATTTTTTTCCTCCATTGTGTCATATTAAGTGTCATATTATCAATCAATTCTAATAGATTAAGATCATTTTTTATACAATATGTCCGAGTCTTTTTAGGTTTACCTCCGTCTTTCTTGACATAAGTTACCTCCGTCTTTCTTGACATAACTCCGTCTTTCTTGACATTAGTTGAATCTAAAACTACCACTCTCCCAACCTGATCACCAGAAAGTCGATGTTTAATGTGACCAAACCATCTAAGATGACTTTCTCTAATTGTGTCCACCACTGGAGCTACACCAACCCTATCACAGACATATTCATTTCGTATTTTGTCTCTAAGCGTGAAGCCACTCATTCACCTAAGCATTATCATCTCAGCAACATTTAAATTTGTTTTATACTTTTCTTTCAAAGGCAACATTATGTGTCATAGAGTCTTGCAGGTCTCACCATTATCTTATAAAATTTTCCTTCAAGTCTAAGCAGTACTTTTCTATCACACAATCCATTAAAGATGTATTTAGTTTAAGATCTACTCAAACGAAGCTCTTTAAACACCAATGTAGACCTACATAATTCAAGTATTTCCTGAACAATTTCTTTAGACTTATCCACAATAAGGATAACATCAGCGAAAAACATACAGCAAGGTACAACCTCTTTTAAATGTCCAATAAGGGTATCCATAACTAAAGCAAAAAAATATGACCTTAAAGCCATTCCCTAATGTATCCAACTGAAATAGGAAAATATTTGGTTAATCCTCTTTTTGTTAGAACACAAGTAACAACTCTAGTAAACACATCTTTAATGACTCGAATATAATTCTTATCAACACCTTTCTACATCATGCATATCTAATAAACAGTAATACCCATACATGATAATGTCAGACTCTGCACTAACCTGCAAATGATCTATTCAAACTCAACATCAAATATGGAGGATGGACACATTGTTACAATTGTTGCTTAAATTTAATTGGAGAGTAACACTCAAAATATGGTTTGCTTGCCAAATGAATCGCGGCAATACATCTAAACCATCAAAACTACCAATAAAAGAATCTAATGATCAATTCAATCAAACTAGATTAAATTGACAGATAATAACCGCTACATCTTGCAAATCTAACTTAAAAGTGATAAAAAAATTATGTGATCATTACTTTCTTTGCAAAATAAATTGCATTGATGTGTCTAAAATATGAAAAACATATAAGATAAGCACACATTGCCCGAGTAACGCACAAAAGTAAAACACAAAATTGCCCTTGCTCAAGACAAATGCATGAAAATCATGACACAAGAGATAAGAAATTATGTGAGTTGATTCACACATCTATGTTATCTTATAATAATAATAATAATACTAATTATTATTATTATTATTATCATCATCACCTAGTTTAAGTTAACTATAAAAAATCATCAATCAACTGTAGGTCAAAATCCCTTAAAGCATGAAAACCTCACATCTGCTATCAATTAATGCCATTTTATGTCCACCTCCATCCCATCTGGTCTCTGCCCAATTGTTTATAGATACTCCACTAAGTTATCTTGGATAACTCTTTATGTTGCTTTAACCTTTTCAGATAACTTTTTGAATTAAATGAGTACTATAAGAGAGAATGTATACATAAGACAAAATCAACAATCAAAAAAAAACTTTTTTTCAGAAAATTAAATAACTTTCTTTACTGACTCTTTCAATTTGTATGGATTGTAAATTATTCGTGATATAAAACTTTAATTTCACCGTCCGATCGTTCATTTCTATCTTAAAAATTCTTAACCACAAGTCGGGTCATGTCATATTTCCTCTCTACTTCTGACATTAATCATCAAAATAATAATTAATACTTAATAACTCACTTTAATTGACTATACATAAATTCTCAAAAAAATATTAACCTAATTAATGTAGCAGACTTCCTTCTTTCTATGTCCTCTAATGTGAAATGTTCTTCTGACTTTTCTTATCAACATTTTAATCATAATTATAAGTTAATAAATGAAATTTCTATTTAACAATATTTAAAAAAAAATAATCCCTAACCTTATCTCCTCACCTCATCTTCTGTACAAGCATCGATCTCAATCTCCCTTGTCCTTTACTTTGATTGCTTGCCAA